CGGCAGATTTGGAAAACTAATTAGCTTAAAGGCCCTGTGTGTGAAATCCATTGAAATCATGATGAAAAAATGTGACTCTTAAGCACCATGCAGTTCAAAGTATTGCAGCTATGGTGGCTCACTCATGAGTTTGAGTATATAATTAATTTCCAACCTGTGTAGCCTAACCCACACAAAGCTTATAACAAGCTACTCGACCTTTTTAAAAAAGCATTTATAATTATGACCGTTTTATCAGCCTACCAGTTCTGAAGGAAGAAAGCTAGTTCTGTTCTTGAAGTGATCACGATTCACATACGGAGGAGGGGTGACATCAGCTGGGAGGTCAGGTGTTGTGAGAAATTGTGTTCGCCTGAAATATTCTGTCACAGACAGCAAAAGATGCCTGGACGTAAACAGAGACAGTCTTGTGTTTAGTGTTCAGCACTATCTTGTTTCCTCTGGCAATGGGGGTTTCGGTAGATACGGAACAAGTGAAGATACCCGAGGGAAGGGGTGATTGTTCTGTGACCGTGTCTGAATTAAAAACTTAGCTTGTTCTGTAGATTTGCTATAGCAGCTTTAACTTGATTAGGCCAAGGTGTATGACTACCTTAGTCATCATCACCAGCGGAAGTTGGTAACATACAAAGGATTTTTTGGAAGGCATTTATTCACCTGAACAATACTTACTTATCTGTCACTATTAGAAGAAACTGTTTAGCATGTTCAGAAACAAGCCAGAGCTGAAGCCTACCATGATCTGGGACCTCCAGGCTGGCTTTTTTGGCAACGTCTGTTGATCCACCGCTTGCTCATTAGCTTATATTCCTGCTTGTGGTTCTGTTATTTCTGTATATTTCAGTCTCATTTACTGAAAGTGTATCAAACAAGAAAGACACCACTGCTCCAAAAGAGGAAACTTCAAGCTCAGCTAAAATTTGCAGCTGTCCACATGAAAGAGAAAACCATTAACTGATGGAAGGTTTTATGGTAAGATGAGATGATTGGTTTATTTGGCCACAATGAAGATATATATGTTGGTATAAATCAAGGAGAGGTTTTGAATCTTAGTGGTGATAGAACCATGGTGCATTTCACAAACTGGATAGGACATTTGCAAAGGACTGACTCCAAAAGTCACAAAGTCTTAAAAGAAACACTTGCAATTTTTATCTCTTATCAAAATGTTCAAAATGAAATAAAAGATTCTCAGTTGTTAAAAAATGTTGGCGGCTTCGTAACATGTAACCATAACAATCAAGTCTAAAATACATGGGAGAGTGGGTCTAAGGCCCTGTCCACACGTAGCCGGGGATCTGCCAAAACGTAGATATTTTTCTACGTTTTGGCCTGTCATCCACACGAAAACGGAGTTTGTTCACATGAAAACGGATCTTTTTAAAAACTCCGGCCAAAGTGAAGATCTGCGTTTTCTCCGTTTTGGGTGTCTGCGTGTGGACAGACAAAACCGGAGTTTTAAGGTCCGCAACGTCACTTTCCGCGACAAAAAAATGCTGACATCACGTGTGCGACCTGTGTTTACACTAGCCGACAGCATGGATGCCCTCAGAGCTGCGCTCGCTTTATCAATTGTCCAAGCGCTTTTTGCTCGTTTGTTTTTGCAAGCGGAATTACTGCTCCTTGCGGAAGACCACAGACGAAGGACGAGGTTAAGAACGGGGGAAGTACTGCCGCCTACAGGTCTGGCATGTCCTTAACAACGTATTTATCCGGGTACGTGTGGACAGAGTTTTTTTTTAAACGAGGTGGTATGGATGCAAGTTTTTGGAGGGGCAGATAGTCGTTTTTAAAAAAAACCGGCTACACGTGGACTAGTCCTAAGTCTCTGGGCTACGCCATATTAGACACCATGCTTCCTTCTACAGGAGCCCAAATGCATTTATTGATTTGTAACAAATGGTCACAAAACATTCGCCAGTCATAAACTTTGTCTTACTCATGTACCTCTTCACTCGTTGCCACTGACTACGTTTACATGCAGCCAATATCCGGGTTATGATCGGGTTAAGGTCGGTATTCGGGTTTCTGAGTTGATCAGAATAACCCGTTTACAAGCATAAATAGAAAGAGTTACCCCTAACTTGCATTACCCGATTTAAATGTGGACGTTGGGGTAGCGTTAGGACGTATGGACTATGTCAAGATGCAATATGCGTCATATTTCGCTGTCTCTGTACTTTCGGCTGTCAATAAAAGACATAATGTTCATACTTTTCACCAGACCGATGAAGACAGAGGTTTCCTCGTCACTCCAAAAGTGTGGTGCTGTGCCGCGACTCGCCATGTTGCTCCCAACTTGTTTACTTCCGGTGTTCTGGCGCATACAAGACGTCTTGCTACTCAAAAGACCAAGATTCCTTGTAAACAGAGCTTGCGCAGAACACACGCTTTGATGGGGATATCCCGATATGCGTTTACACAACCAAACATTCGGGTTAGAAAAGGGTTACCCCAGGTGTAGTAACCGGGATTTTAAAAACCCGGTTATGAGCATATCCGTGTTTTTGGCGGTGTTTACAAGGCCGTGCGGAACCGGGTTATTGTAAATATTCGGGTTTTAAAAGGGTTACTGGCTGCATGTAAACACACTCAGTGATGAATGGGAGTCTGATGTGTTTGTCGTTTTGCTGGAGATTGCGCTCCCAGGGATTTTTGACCCTAATGGTCATCTGTTGTTAAGGACTTGCTTACAATGCTTTAGGTATGTACTGCCCCCTATCGCCAGGGAAAAATCACACCATCACTTTAAAATCATAACATAGCTGAGACTTGGACGCAATGTAGTGTTTTATCTGAACTGTTGATGAACACACAGCAAAACGGGTTTGCTGAACGAGTAAAGCAAGCAGACATCAATAGTCTAGAAAAGTCTTCCCAAAGCCAACACCTCAATGTTGTAGAAATATTTTTAATATTGAATAAAATTAGAGTTAAAAAGCTGGACTCTTGTCAGGAAACCAAACAATTTAAGTGCACCCTCGTGTTGCTGCCAAAGAAAAGTGAGCAAATATCCAGACATATTTTTCCATTATGAGGGGTATTGGCTGCAAATACATTGTTCAGTGAACAACTTGCTAAAGGACATTTGACTACATATTAGTGGCAGTCTGTATGCAAATGATTTTACAACGGTTTTTGAAAGCCTGTTCATTCCATTTCCATATCAGTATAAATCCCCTTGTAAATAAACTGCTGCTAACCAGACCCTTGTGCCTCCTTGATCATTTCCCATGTATGGGAGACTAAACTGTGTGGCTCTGTGTCTATTGTATTTCAGATCTCCCTGCCCCAAATTTAATTTGAATTGTTCAATACCAGGTCAAACATCTTGAGCGAATAAACATGACACACCATGAAATTAGAGTTTTGTTGGAAAAGGCTGGGTATACTTCGATACAAATTTCTTATTACAGACATGTTTGCACACTGAACCATGTTGTGGCTGACTGGTCTGCTGTAATACTGAGAGGAAAAACAAACCCCCCTTTTATCTTCCTGTGCATAACATGTTTAGGACTGCAGAAATATCACCGTAACTTTTTATCGTCTTATTTTCAAAGATACTTTATTAATCCCAGAGGGAAATTAGTTATTTTGGTTTGCCTTTGGCAGTTAAGACATGCATACTTAATATTCTTATTGTTATATCTAAGATTATTTTAAATTGTCACATACTTGAATAAATTAAATTGAACAGACCTTACTTTAAACCACACTTCAGGTGTTTTCATGTAATTTCTTGCACCAAAATAAAACATGAATATATATAGAATGTATGGGTCATTTTCTTGAGAAAATAGCGTAGCAAATGTTGATGTTTTTGCAAGTTTAGCGTTGAAAATCCAAGTTCACCTGCCCACTCCAAAGGTAAGGGCTGTTTTTATGGAAACACAATGAGCTGTTGTTTCACACATCCAACATTGCTGCTGTAACTATTGTGCTTGGCGAACACTTTGGATGTGGCTCTTTACAGCAGCGGGGAGAAGGTGTGAAGAGCCAGTTTGTGTAAGTGCCTTGGAAATTGACCAGTCAACTTGTGTATGCCAGTTTATTGCTTCAGATTCACAGGACTTCTCTACAAAACTGCACAGGCAAACTTATCCTAAAACGTTCTTCTTGCTCAATGTCACATCTAAAATACCAACATGGTTGTTCACTACTAGCACTCATTGTGTGTACCATTAGTGTAACTCTGTACTTCACAGTGTGTTTACTGATGGAACAGATTCACTGATGGAAATTCAACAATAAGTGATAATCTGTGATAAACTAATAAAAATGCACCCTGCTATATTCAGTCCCCCTTTTTTGTCAGGAGTGATAACTACCACCGAAATCAAAAAACCGCTTGTAGCAGCAGTGAAAAGTCTAATACACTCCATGGTTCAGGTATGTTGCTATGCAGAAATGAATGGCTGTACAGTGGCACACTCTAAAGCAGTCTGTTTGTTTTGGATAGCGCTAAGATGTGCAGCTGCATAAGTAAACATGATTCACAAAAGGCTGCTGCTTCACATTCTTGTGCCTCACATGGGTAACTGAAAAGTACTTTGTCAGCTGAAGGCTTCAGATATGCTGACTAATTATAAAATGCATATTTGCATGGCCTAGATTCTATTTTTTATTTGTTTGATGATGTCAACTTGTGGATTTCTCAAAAGCCACAATCAGTGATTGATGAGATTTTCCTTTTTTCTGTAACAAACAGCACATTAGTGAATGACGCGAGGTTAAACATTTAATAATGATTACATGTGACTTATTTATATTACAACAATTATTGGTCAACTCATCATTCTAACGGAGCAATAATGCAGCGATTGACCAACATGTCTGCTGCTTCATTCCACAGTCAATCATGTTAGTAAATCTCTACACTGGTTAAACTACAGAATCAATTTCAATGTGCTTCTACTAGTTTATAAATCACTCAATGTCATGTTGGGTGAGAGTTTCCTGACCCACGACAAGCAGAATCATCACAAGAAACCGGCAAGTAAGTAAAACGTTCTTTATTATTTAATGAGAGGAACGGGAACAGACGACGTGCAGGCTGGCAGCAAGACTCCAGGAGAGGATTCTGAGGAGGGAGACAGAGTGAGCATATGGAGGGAAGGACGGAGGATATTAGGAGTGGAGCTTACTGATAGCAGATAGTGATGAGGGCCTCAGGAAGGGCTAGGTCAGGTCCGGGTTAGCAGGAAGGCTCCAGGAGGAGAAGGAACTGTTGAACCAGAGAGGAGGTAGGAGCGGAGGCTTGGCGAGGGCAGGTGAGCGGCTGAGAGCGGGCGGCCAGGGGAGGAGACAGCGTGATCTGAAGTACAGGAATCCGAGCTGGTATGGAGATAGTGGAGTGTGGAGTGAGAACCTGGACCAGAGCAGGGAAGAGTAGTCAGGGTCTTTTCTGGTCGACAGGAAATCCAGCAAATATTTTACAAGATCTGATAAACAAACTGGAACTAGAAAAAAGAGGCTCAAAACAGGTCAAAGGCTAGAGCTACCCAAAACTGAGCAATCATCTGGCGAAGTGAAGTGTCACACTGCTCCTTAAATCCCCTGGACCGTGATGACAGGATTAGCTGCAGCTGGTGGCTCTCAGACACGCCCACCTGAAACAATGCTCAGAGAAAACAGGTTACATGCAGGAGGCTCACCCCGGACCGTGACACTCAATGGCACAGGGCCAAAATATATGTCAGATCTCCTGTCTGTGTATACGCCCAGCAGGGTTCTGAGAACCTTAGTAAGCAGTCAGCTGGTAGAACCCCAGGTCAGAACCCAACCTAGGTCTCCTTCCTTTCCGGTCTGGTCATGGGTCCCTGGAAAAATAAAAAAAATCAATGCAAGTCAATGGGGCTAAAAGAGCTGTTTCCTAATACACTTTGCCTTATGCCCTGAATTGCACACATGCAGTAATTCATTTTGAATGAAAAGTAATGATGTGTGTTTCGACCACGCCTGTCATGTACTTTGAGATTTATTAGCTTGTAAAAGTTCATAATTAGCATGACTTCAAATCAGACGTCGGTACGTCGCATATATGACGTCACCACAGAATCTCCTCTCCCCTAGCATAGCTGCTACTTACCACATGGCCAGGTTGATGATGGTTCATTCCTCCCGAAGGACTTAAAGTTGGCTGAACTTACAGCCATTTTTCTTCTGCTCTTCTCTGTGTCTGGTTTGATATGTGAAATCCATGGTAAATTAGAAAATAGCTGTTTTAGTCCCATTGAGTTGCATTCATTTTCTCGTAGATGGAGTAGAAGGTAGATGGGCGTGGCTTAGACTCCTTACAAACAGATGGAGACAACTTTCCTATGACCTCAAATGTGCCCCAACTTTAGTAAATTTTAAATCAAAATTGAAAACGTTCATGTATTCATCAGCCTATAAATAGGTTTTTATTCTGCACCTTTGGCATTGTAACTGCTCAACCCTTAACTTTGTCCTTTTTCTATTCTTAAATCTGAAATTCATTTGTGTTTATTTTATGTGTGCTGGCACGTGATTTTAATGTTTGTCATATTCTTGCTAATGGAAAGCACATTGATTTGCCTCTGTGTATGAAATGTGCTATATAAATACAGCTGTCTTGCCTTGGCTAAAATTGAACCAAAGAATAATAGCACTCTGGATTCTGACAATGTCCTCTGAAAAAGTTAAATTAGGATCCACAGTAGTTTTATTACATACTTTGAAAAAACAAGTTAAAACATGGCTCGCCATGTGAGGAGTGAAAAAGTTCAGTTTGGGCAAACCTCCAGTCATCACTCCAACAACAAAAGCCCTTTGTGCTTCAAGCCCTTTCCAAAGTCATCCTGTGGGAGGGTGATACCAGAACGCAAGTGTTTTCAGAAATGTGGAAAAAAATCTAACACCTATTTTTTTGCACATTTTGTTCGTGAACATTTTCACAAGTTTGAGGAAGTAATATTACACATTCTGTCGGTGTTCTTATTTATTTATTTGAGATGTATTTTGCCTCCTCTTGGTTTTTGTCCATTGTTGTCCAGCTGAGAGATTTATTGTCTGGCAACTGGCCCCTCCCCCACAGATGTAACCCCTCCCACCATGCTTTATTATTGAGTCTCATCATGCATGAGGGGCTGTGTGTGTGTGTGTGTGTGTGTGTGTGTGTGTGTGTGTGTGTGTGTGTGTGTGTGTGTGTGTGTGTGTGTGTGTGTGTGTTTGTGTGTTGTGTGTGTGTGTGTGTGTGTGTGTGTGTGTGTGTGTGTGTGTGTGTGTGTGTGTGTGTGTGTGTGTGTGTGTGTGTGTGTGTGTGTGTTACACAGTAGACTAGTATAGATCATGTTTGAATTTGGCCCTCTTTTATGTTGATTTTATCTCACAGTTTTCATTGGTTCACTTTTTCCCTTGTTTTACACATTTGTCTTCTACTAGAATGTTTCACCTTTTTTGTAATTTGTAATCTGTAATTTGAATTGCTTTTATTTTCTGATTTATTCACTTTCTTTAACTTTGTACTGTACCATTTTCAGCGCCTTGGGCTTCCTGACAGGGTTGCAGAAGGCGCTTTATAAATAAAGCTTTGATTTGATTTGATTTGATCATACTGTTTAGTTATGTAGTGTTAGTTTTGCTGCAGTACGTCCAACACGGACTGTATTGATTGATTGCCAGAAGTCTTACAATGAAGCAAACTTGAAAAGCCTTCAATGGTTTCTGAAATGTCAAGATAAAACTTGCTTTCATTCCTAGTTTTTGGTTTGTTTGAAAGAACCTGAACTACTGTCCAAGATAATTCTTTTCTTTTAGTTCCTCCTTTAGAAGTTCTTTACCAAAGAATTACCGCAGAATTCCCCCCACCTGATCAGACAAAAATTTTTAAGGAAACCACGTATAGAACCAAAACCAAAGAAAGGTTGGTATTGTAACACTTTGGGACACTTGTTTTATTCCAAAGCAGGCAATTAGACTCCAGTGAAAAGTTGCGTCATTTTGCGTCATTTTAACAACCACGCCCCTCCACCGCGTCTCCGCACGGCCCAAAATTTCCGCAACATGCACCTCGGAAATTTTCTAACCACGCAGACGGTCAAACGCGGAAAAACATGGCGGACTGGCAAGAACTTGTTGTGGCGGAGGTTCGTAAATCTAGGCATTTGCACGATTCAGCTCTCAAAGATCACCATGTTGTAAGTAATTGTTGGCGAGAAATAGCACGCAGATTCGGAAAAGACGAGGAAGCTGTGAAAAAATGCTGGAAAAACATCAGGGACCGATATGTGAAGGCAAGGAAGGGGAACAAAAGGAAAAGCTGTGATCCTGGTGGAAACCACAACACTCCACCAATTCTACAAGAGCTGAGTTGGCTCTCAACATTCATAAAACATCGAGCAACAGAGACCAACGTGACATCAGCCGTGGTAAGTAAAGTTATTTTTCTGTGAAGGTTTAAGAAATGTGTCTGATCACATGATTCATAGACTTAATATTTTTTCTGTTAATGTTGAATAACAAACAGCTTCTATAAAATAAGTATATGTTAATTTTATTTTATTTACTTTAAAGGTTGAGGAGGAATCACAATCAGAGGCAGATCTCCTCCAGTCTGATTCCCCACCCTCCCCTGTCCCAACGCCATCTCCTTCATCATCCAGTTCATCTGAAATCAGCACAATATGCCCATGCACCCTCCAAGACACGTTGTCCAACAGTTGACCAACGGCAAAGGTCTTCTCCTCTCCAGGATCCAGTGGTGGTACGTGCAGTTTTACTTACACTTAGTTAATTGGAAATGTATTTTTAAATATTTACAAAACTGCTTTTCTGTTCAGGTTTAACCAGTGTCTTAATGAGTCCAGGCCCAGCACCAAAGAGGAGGAAGAAGATGGATGACGTGTTGCTCAAAAGGCTCGACAGGATTGAGCATGAGAAAGCTGTCCTGAATGACACAGAGGATATTAGATTTGGACATGTTGTTGCTGACTTGCTGGGGACAATACCATCTCAAAAGAAAATGTCTGTCCAGTTTAAAATCTGCCAGCTGCTGTATGAAGCGATAGAGACAAACAATTCACAGTGATTTTTTTATGGTTTATTTTTTATTTTTTCATGTGTAATTTTTTACCTTGTACACAATAAATGGTGTGATTTAATGCATTGAGTTGAGTTCTATTCCTTGTTGCCTAGAGACCTGAATAAACTGACTGCAGAACTGAAAATGCCCTTCCATCAGCAGACACATGATTCAGACCAGACCTGAGGCTTCATTCAGTGTACCTCTCCTTAGCACGCTTTCCTGTCACCGGCAACTACTCTTCTCCATTCCCCATCCACCACATCACCCGCAGATGAGAAAGAGTCGGAGAACCTGGGTGGGATGTAGCGGGTGGCCGGGGTGTTGGCAGCAACAGTGCTGCTCAGGTAATTGTGTAAAGCCACACAGGCCTTCACAACTTTAACAGTTTTGTCAGGGTGGAAGTCGATTGGTCGTCTCAGGATCCGCCATCGGGCTGCCAGGATGCCAAAGCTGTTCTCTATCACCCTCCTGGCACGTGAGTGGCGGTAGTTGTAAATCCGCTGTGTGTCATCAAGGTTTGTTCCTGCATTTTAAGTTAAAAGATTAGGTTATATAATAATCCCAATTAAAGAAATCTTTATCTTATCACATCCTAATGATAACATACCTGGAAAAGGCCGCATCAGGTTTTGGTGGAGAGGGAAGGCCGCATCACCTGGGAACACGTGTGGAACAGTAGTTGTGGAACCAGGCAGGTTGGCCGGGGGTGGTAGGCATAGGCGTCATTTTAACCGGGGACGCCGGGGACATGTCCCCGGCAAAATTTGTGATTGGCAGCTCTGTCCCCCCCCACTTTCAAAAAAGCCTGCTGATGAGGATTTTTGTTTTACCTGCTCAGATCTTATACCAGGGGTCGGCAACCTGTTCCCATCAAAGAGCCATTATTACCCGTTTCCCACAGTAAAGAAAACACCGCAGTAGCCGCAGCGTTGTGGGCAGGGCCTACCCTCAGACAGCAGAGAGCTGCTCACAACCAGGTGACAGCAGCAGGTACCGGTCGCTCGCATGGACATCGCACCCGTGGGGGATTCAACACCCACACTTTTCCAGCTGTTTTGCTCACCTCCACACCAGTCTGGTTTCTTTATGTCGCACACTCACTCTGTTTGCCTCATCTCCTTCTTCACCTCCCTCTTCTGACAGCCAATGTCGGGTTTCCAGGAGAGCAGGAGAGGGAGGGACGGAAGAGCTCGACTGAATTCATAATTTTACATCTTGACATTAGCTGTACAAAGTCTGAGTTTGATAACGTGAAGAACAACAATTTGCAGAGGTTTATAACAGGCGCGGCGCCAGGTTTTCATTTTTGGGTGGGCCACGGTAATTTTGGACGGACCGTAATAAGCAGTGACTTAGTGAAGCAGGCAGGTCGCGCTAGAAAATTTCGTTTAAAAAGACATAAATGTTTCCCCCCGTCATTTTTATTTCTAAAATATGAAGTAAAAACTCCCAGTTTAATTTTCATTCATTTGTCATTAATATGTAGTCTACACCCGTGCGTTAAGTGGACCATCTTCCAGTGAAAGCAAAGCATCCAGCCCATCTCTCCAAATGCGTAAAATGTGCACCACAGCCGTTAGGCGCGCCGCGCGCACCGCCAGCTACAT